TAAAAACAAACAAACAAACAAATCATAAAATACTTTTTTATCTCAGCAACAGCTATTCCAACCACAACAGAACCACCACCTCGAGAAGAAATCGTGAAATCAGGATTTCCAGTTGTCCTAAGTTGCTTGGACCAAAGTGTAGTGACTTCTGTTGTGCAGTGGACAAAGGACAACCTACCAGTAGATTTTATAACAGAGAGATTACAACTTCTTTCAAATGGATCTCTCCAAATCAACTCTGCGAAAATTGAAGATACAGGGTTGTATAAATGTAAATCACCAATTGAACAGGATGGTCATTTGTTTCATTCAATCAATCTGATTGTTCAAGGTTAGTGAGAGAGAGAGAGAATTTCACTGTTTTATTTCTTCACTTACAGCAAGTTACATTCACTTTTTTCTTAGTAGATTGAAATATAGTTTTCCATGAATATAAATCTGAAGTAGTTATATGTAGACTCAGAGTTTTGGTATGATTACTGAGGTAATTTTGAAGATTTTTGACACTGAGTTTTATCAATTGTTTATGTAGTTACTTACTTGTGACCATACTTTACCACCCACCTACCTTTAGTCAGACAGATAATTCTAATTCATATTGTTACGTATCTGTTCGTTTCTTAATTTTCCGCAGAAATTCTTTCCCAGAAAAACTTCAGCGATACAAGTCCTTTCTTAAATAAAACTAGTTTATTCTTTCTCAATACAACTTTGCAGTACACTTAATTTCCACAGTCACTTAAACACACGCTATAATTCTGAATGAACGATTCATGCACTTTACTTACTACCGCGCTTGACTCAATTGTCCGTTTCTATCTCTGCCTATCTGCAATTCTATCTCGATTAATTGTCTGGCACACTTATATACAAGAATATAGGGCGCCTAGTAAATACTGGATTATTCGTGATGTTCCCTGATCTTTTTACATCTTTTTACCTGCGTCACATGACAATATAATAATTATACAACATCATAAAAGCAGATTTTTGTATTTATATTTTTAAAAAGTATAATTACATTGGTCAGATGACATGCAAATATGCTTCAATATAAAGCTCATGATAAGGTTTGCTCAGCTACTTTACATAAACATGTAAACTTTCAAATATAATGACAGAAATAAAGTATTATTTTTTCACATTTTACATCATGGAGGGTAAAGCATATTTAAATGGGTTTTTAAGTTTAGGCATCAGTTGTCAGTGAAAATTAATAAACCTCAATCTGAAATCCTTTTCAGATTAATTAGTTAGTTAAAGCCATGCAACAACACTATTTGCAAGGCACAAAGGGTTGTTGCTTTTGAACTTCAGTTTCAAGTGCCACAAAGGTATGAGATTGGTGACACATTTCCTCCTGGATGGGATGACCATCCATTACAAGTTAACCCACAGCTAACAGCTGGGTAGATGAGAAGAAGTGGGATTGTTTTGTTCAAAGACTCAACAAACATGATGCTGGCCAGCTTTGAACTTGCAATCATCCAACTATGAATTCAAAGCATGAAACCATGTATATGTAATATACATAACATACATAATAAATATAAAATACTTTACTAAACTCATTGAACCAACTCACCGTGTTTGTTCAATGACATTGAATAAAATACATTTTGATAAGTGTTGAGTTGATATTATGATAAACACAAAAGTTAAAAAAAATGAGTACGAAATAAAATAAACATAAGGTTTACAAGATACAGTGGTGCAGGAAAAAAGTGGTATAAATTAAAATAACTCATAAAAATTCACAAATCATTGATCCAGGAATGAATAGTATAAATTAAAATAAATCGTAACATTTCACATAGGAATCTTTGACTGTAAATGATGGAAGTTCTTGCATGAAGACAACAACATGTTATATAATTTGTATAGGAGGACAGAGTATCAAATATTGTTGAGATTTAGATCTTTATTCACATGGTAACAGTTGCATGTTACAGAGAAGTGAAATGTACCATGGGATACAAGGAAAGAAGACTGTACTAGCATCTTAGTACAAGCGGATGACATTTCCTCGTAATTCCAGTCTTCAATGTACAGTTTTTAATATTAATAGTAATTGGTCTTTATAGCTTAGAGGACTTTCTGGTATTCTTTCAATTAAAACATCATTTTACACAAATTTTATTTTGTCTTGATAATCATTTTATTTGTTAGAGGATTTCACATACAACTTAAGTACTTGAAAGAGCAAACATTTAGTCAAATTTTAATGAAAAATTGTAATTGTTATGAATACTTTGGAATCATGGCAGATTGAGTTATTAATCAAATTAAGATTTACTCATATTGTAAATTCCTTTATACAAAAGTGAGAATAATAGAAATTTTCATTAATGAAAAGAATTGCAAAAGGTTTTGGCTTCAATCCTACTTACAGGAGTGTAAAAATGGGATAAGAGAATATTTCATTTTTTTATCAGTAACAGAATCTTAACAGGTTAATATTACTTCCTTGTGCATTCAGCTTGTTAAAATATAATTTGCAAAATTAAATGAACAATAATTTGAAATGATTAATTTGGTAAAAAAGAGTAATATATAGTTTATTGTTAAATTAAAAAAGATTGTGAAACAATTCTGTAATGTACTTGGTTCTGTGCCAAACCAGGATAGTATGTTTGTATTAATCTATTTTTTGTTTCATTCCTTTTATTTTTTCCTAAGTTTAAGTCTGAAGCTTTGAAAATTGAGTTCAAGCCATAGCAGTCAGAAATCAGGCAACATTTTCTGACCATATAATTATTGTCAAGTCTAATTTCTTAGATAACTATAAAACTTTGAAGATAGGCATATAATTCTGGGAAATTGTAATTTTTCTCAAGAACTGAAAATTGGGAATGGACAAGTTTGAGACCTGCCTATCTTCAATTTGTACATTTACAGAAAAACTCCCACTGCTACATTTTCTGTTTGAAAATAAATTCTTAGTTCAGTTGTTGATAGATCTTAAATGATTCAAGTTGCACTTAGGACAAAATCCTTCTTTTGTAACTCCTAATTAGACAGACACATAGGACTTTATTGCACTTTAAGAAATATGGAGGTACACATATATTCCCTGTGCAATACTTTGTTATTTTGATGACTACATTTAGTGTATCTGGGACAAAAGTAAATCTTTTTTATGTGTAAGGTTCAACAAATGGTTGCACATTTTAAAACAGAATAGTGTTCATTTTCACACATTGTATCAGATGAGGTGAATGTTGTGTAGAATACAGAATTCACTCACTTGATCAATATTTTTAAGATGGTTTAACAGAACAGTATAAAAATTCTCAATGAACTAAATGAAGATCAGAATTGAATACTTTAAACATCTGAAGTGATTGTCTTTTTTTTTCTATTTGTACCAGTAGGATTTATAAGAGATGCTTATTCATATAGTTGGCAATATAATTGTTGAAGAAAAAAAAATATTTTGGCTGATTTTTGGTTTTATGTTTCTTAACTATTTGTTGAAAACCTTTTGCAACCTTCAAGATGGTTTTAATACAACTATTTTATGTAATTTCGTTCTTTAATTTTATGTTTTTGAGTATGCTAAGGTTGCAATAAGCCTTTATAAAGTTTGAAAGAGTTAAAAAGTTATGATTTTTTGAAATTAAATTGACTTCATTTCTTTTTTTTTTTCAGAAAGTGTCAATGTTACGGTAAGTATTGCTTCAAGAGAATATAAAACAGGTTCTCTTCTTCAATTAGACTGCAAAATTATAGGTGCAGAAGATGCTTCTGTCAGGTGGACCTTTGGTAGCGACAATACTCCAATACAGAGTAACCATCAGTTACAGATTCTCAGCAACTACTCCTTGCTTATTTCAAGTGCTCAACATAGTGACAGTGGAACATACAGTTGTATCGCAACCACCAAATACAGTGAAACTTCCGATTCTATCTCTGTCATCATTGAAGGTATTAATCTTCAAGTAATCTGTTATTTACTAATAAACATTTTTTTTCATTCTTTAATGGTTTTGAATGTGTTAGAAAACTAAAAGGAAATATTCTCTACATGGTATGTTAACTAAGAAAATAAGACATTGTGCTGTAAGTTCCTTTGTGATTTTAAATTATTTAAGAATGTCACTGTTTTCGTTACTCATAATGTGTTATATTTTTTAGCATGAAGTTTCATTCTATAACAATAAGGCATACATCCAATCCACTTCTCAATTGTTATTGAAGTTAATTTTGTTTTTATCATTAAAAACTTTTGCACTTTTCAATTAAACCAAGTACAAGTGATCATTACTTTTAGAGAGCTGTCAAATGCCCGAAATATAATAAATTCCTGCATACTTAATAATATAACTGTCAGTGGAATTTTTGTAGTTTGCCTCTCCAAACATATTTATAGTTTTGAGAGATTGTAGTTACTCGATTGAGAAGTAACTTGACTGCCAAAATAGAAGAAACTTATGGATTATTTTAATGATTAAAAAGTAGCTTTTGATAAAGATTTCAATTAATGTTCTTTTTTTCAACCAAACAGAACTAAGGAATGTAATAATTCTGAAGAAAATACAAAGCTTTTCTCATATTTCAAGGAAAGTTTGAATAGTGAGTTATTGGCACAGTAAGAATATAAATAATTACAGCTGATTTATTATTAAAGGAATTTGATAACAGTTGTACTGCTAAAAGGCCAAAATTTGGGATGAATTAAAGAAACTATCTTTTTTAATTATAATGACTGATTTTTGTTAATCACAACCATGTGTTTTCATATACCTGTGAATATGTTAGGAAAATCAGAAGAGGTATATGTGTATCTGAGCATTTTGTGTTTGAAAGACTATAGATGTGAGTGATGCAGAGAATCATACTTTGGTTTGACTTTCATTACAGATGTCTATGTACCACCAGAATGTACTGATGATCCCCAGTTTTCCAGCTGTGAAATAATAGTTCAGGCTAAGTACTGTACAAACCCTTATTACGGCAAGTACTGCTGTCGGTCATGTCGACTGTCAGGACAACTTCCAGCCAAGTTTACCTCACTTTATGTATAACTTCCATCTGAATGATGTTAAGCCTTTTTATTACATTTGCTGGATTTACTTTCCCTTGCATTTTGACAGAGCTTCTCGACACTTCCTGTTTAGCTTGATGTAAGTGCCTTAGGTAGAAAGTGTTTGGCTGTCAGACCTGTTGCATGTGTAAAGCAGATCCAAGCTTTGAATACATGCTGCATAAAGATAAGAACATAATGGTCAGAATTTGGAAATGGTAGATTGATATTTAGCTTTTAAAACAAATATAAGTAAACAATAAGTTTGGTCAACTCGATTTCATATAGAAAAGGACCACCACTTCTGAAGTTCTTTGAATCACAAACACTGAAAAATTGCAGCTTAAAAAGGAAACAATTTCATGTTTAGATAATTTGTTATTTTGGCTACCTACATATATGTTTTGTCCAAGATTTTGCCTATACATGGATTTGTTAATATATATATTAGTTTCTTAGTTTTTTAATCTTGTTTACCTTTTTACTTCCACTCCACTTGAGTGCCATATTTTTTTACACACAAATCACTAAATGAGGTATTTGCTACCAGAGGTGTTTTTCAGTCAGTAACTTTTCCTTGCTGTTTTTGAAGGCTCATGTACTGTAAGAATGTGCTTTTTTAAATTATTTGTTTGATTTTATGCCACAGGAATGAATATATTTTGTTTAGTGGTTTGATATATAGTTGTCAAAAGTCTTTTAAATGATTTGCACTTTGTCATTATAATTTTTATATCTTTAAAACTACTTACATGCATATTTTCTGTTGTTCATGCTAGAATTGTTTATTTGTTGAGCATGAATCCACAGTTTCATAAAGAAAGGTTGCCATGGCATGTCAGAACACTCCCCTCCCAAAATAAAAGTATTCTTTGGTTGGTGTTTCTAAATGTATGTCTTTATGCAATTTTATGGGGTGATATTGTACTTGTGGCTCTGAATATGTTCAGTGTTGTGTAATTTCTAATAAACTTTTTGCTGTTATAACAGGTTAGATATGCAAGTAATAAGTAGTCTCTTTTTACAGTTTGAAATTGTTTGTATTGTCATCATTGGTTTTATAATCTTAAGCATGGACATGGACTTTTTTAAAACAAATGAAATAAGGCACCGAGTCTGATTTTCTGATGTCACATTCATAATCATATTTTTGAGAAAGGCTGTTGAGTAAATAATTTAATACTTGAAGTATGGATTTATTTCTTTATTTATTACCCAAACATGTTATGTTTTTTTTTACATCATACTTTTTTTCTTTAAAAAAGAATTCCAAAAATGAGGATTCATAGCTAAGCCTAAGTTATTAAAATAAAACACCTTTTAGGGCCACATCCATTATTATCTCAACCATTACAGGTAAAATGTCAGCTGAAATGTAATGGCTATACAACACATTACCTCAGCATGATCTACAATGTGAACTCATGAACAGACTGAAATAATTTTAGCATGGACTTTCAGAAAACTCATCAGTAATATATCACTTACTAAATGAAAACTTTAAATTAGAAAGGCAAATAAAATATGTTTAGATACTCAATTAAAAAGTCGTGCTGAACCAACGCCATCATATAATGTTATTTCATAGTTAGTAAGAAGTGTTTTTTCAATTTGCTTCTTCTTATAGTAGCCAGTATTGTCTAAGTATTGTGTACTGTATCCTGTGTGGACCAACTCTAGAAAGTAATAAATTATTTTATTGACTTATCACTGTCTGATTTGTTCTTATGTTTTTTTTTTGTTTTCCCACTCTTATTGCAAGTCTATCCAAATGTATTGAAGTATATTATTGAATACTAGATGGTGGATCTGGTGTGACCTCATGATCAGTCTGTGAGGTTGAGGATCAAATGGTCTCAGGATTAAGCCATAACAGATGCTCTGCACTTTCAGCTAAGAATGAAAGTTTAGGTTACAGGTGTTACTGACTTCTTGCCCTTTTTCTCTATCTCTCTGACCAGCAGCTCAAAATATAGGATGGTTATGCCTGAATCTTGGGGTCTGACCTGTGTCATATAACTTGTCAAATATTTCACTTGCAAAACTAAATGTAAATATAAAGAATACGAGTTGGAAATCCTCAACTGTTATTATTACTTTAAAATATGAAATTATTTTGTTACCATCCTTACAAATGTAAAGAGTAGCGCCCAGGTGGGCTTGATTGTTGGAGTTTCAAGTAAAACTACTCGTTACACCAAATTTATTTATT